ATAACTCAGGCAACTACTTTATTATTATTTTTTTTAATTAGTATTTAAAGGTAAGATTAATTATGTAGAGCAGAGGTATTCAAACTATGCGTCAGAGGAGAAAACACGTTGGAGCCGAAGAATTTGAATACGTCTGATTTATGTAATTTTTGAGGTTTTTATTGATATTTTAATGAAAAGACGAGAAATGGAAGAAAAATGTAAGTACGTGAATGCTTGCTATTATATAGTTGGTGTGAACGTGTGATTACTGATTKGCATTAAGTTGAAAAAAAATACTGTTAGTGTAATATTCATAAGTTCATCTATTGAATTTTCAGCGGCCATAATGATATAACCATATAGATATTATACGCAGATATTTAGAGATTTGGTTCCCTGGATCATGATAATGCAAAAACGGAAAATATATTACATTTTTATTTTTTATTATAAACAGTTGTTCGTAATATTGTTTACAATCAAGAGTAATGTAAAATATATGAAATAATAAAATATATAAATATATGTTCTTGAATCTTGAATCAAATGTCTCGTACGTTGAACTTTTTGATTATTGCAAATAAATTGATTACATCATMATTAAATTTATTGATTAAATCTCACTGAATTGTTAAACCATCGGACGAGTTTAAACTTTAAAGTTCATTAGTGATATCGCATCAAACATATTAATCATATTACATTATGATTTAATCATTCTTAGAATAGTTAAAGCGATCTCTCTGTTTGACGATTTGATATGGGACATGGTGACAGCAGAGGAATATCAGAATTTGAAAATATCGGCGAAAAAAAAAATGTTTTATCTCTGTTCCACGCGCAATATTGCCTGCAAATATGCGTTCAGCAGAATTTACCACGTGTGTGGTGTGTGTGTGGCTTATTAGTAGTTTATAGACTTTAAATGGTATAATGGAGACATGAAGTGAATTTATGGACCTATTATCAAACTCAAGTACCTACTTATAATGTCTGTTTTAATTGTAGTACATACTTTGTACGTTATACCTAATAATCTAATGCTTTAATATTAAAAGTAAGATGTCAGTATAGTTTTAAATTGTAAGTATCTATACATTCGTAAATGCATAAAAGTTGAATATCCCAACGTTCAGACACAGAATATAATGTTTGATGATAATATGTTAATTCACTCTAATTCTAGAGCAAACATCGCGAGGTTGGTTCTGCTGTGGAAAATGTTTTACTATTTTAATTATTATTTCAGGGAATTCATCATTATAGACAATGTCTGTAAAAAAAAAAAAATACCTTTAGGCACCAGAACTATTGCACCCCTCCCTAGAATTTTAAATTCGTTTTCCAAAGAGCATTGTCTGTAGCTCGCCAATTTAGTTAACCATATTATATTAATTTTAAAATGCAAGCATAAAATGTATAAAACATTTTTTTTATCTATTTTTAAAATTAATTTTGCATTTTAACAACCCCTACCCCCACGTGCGTCCCCAAACAATTTTCCGAAGGGGGTAGCTATTCTAAGTACCTATGTCGATTATACGAGTATATATTTTTTTTAAACTTATTTCATGTACAAATGTAATGAGTTATTAATTATTATCAATCATACAACACCCGCGAGCCACAAATGCAACTGTGTTTGCGGTCGCACATGGCTAACCGCGCACAATTTTAATAAAGGTGCTACACACCTCTGCGCAGTGTAGTCCATATCGCAAATTCGCAAGGCATAAAATCATCGGCGTACGTGTGGCTGTTAGTGTAGCTGCAACACGATTTAAAAAAAAAAAAAAATTCACCACCCAAAATTTGACCGCCCAGCGTTCAGTACCCTAAGAAGTACGTCATTGCTGCAGGGTTGTAATAGGTAATTAAAAATAGACGTAACAATAATGTCGTCTAAAGTCTTGTGGTTTATTGCGACAGCAGGCGAAATGTCGGAGGATTCGCACCAGCCACGTCGCGTTTTCTGGAATTTCGTACGATATTTGAACACCGCCGGAGCACCAAACTCGGAACACGCGTCTGATGAGCGTACATTATTATTAAAATGCCAAGTTTTAATTCAAAAACCTCATCATCACGGCAACGGCCGGCGGCCAGACGGTCGTCGCGTCGCACCCGCGAAACCAAAGTCCCGAACACGTCGCCTCGCCCGTGCTGAGTACGAGATTTACAGTTATTATAGTCGAGTATATGATATGCGTGTGGGCATGTGCGGTGTGCACGACGAAAACCGGTGCAACGAGTGCACGACCGTCGGCGAGTAGCGTTCGGCTCTCGTCGCCGCCGTCGACAGATCGAAATAAAATATTATCTTATATGTATATAAAAATGGAGACAAAAAATTCGAAATTGCATCGGTTGAGAACGGCTGGGCCGATTTGGCTCAAATTTTTTTTAAATGATAGAGAATGTCGGGGAGCGGGTTTATAGCATAATTAATTATGGTCCTAACTCCTGTGAGTTAGAGATTTAGAGACAAAAACTGAGTTRYRCCGGTGGCGCCCTCTAGCAGATAAAAATAAAAATAAAAATCTATATATATAAAAATGGGGAAAAAAATGTATAACAATTCATCAATTGAGAACGGCTGAACCGATTTCGCTCACTATTTTTTTGTTTGGGTCGYAATTGTCAGGAAAAGGTTCTTACGGATGAAAAATTTGAGAAAGTTATCGGGTTAGAGAAATATGATGAGGGTGTGATGAAATCAAAGTGGCGCCATCTGCCCAGTAAAAAATAAAATAAATAATAATAATATGTTTTGGTAGTCAAAGGCAACCGTTTATACAAACAAGTGCTATCGTGAGCAGCTGGACTTATTTTTAGGAAGGACATTTTTGTTTATTTATAAATGGTTGCTTTAGTGATGGTTATTATTGTTCTGTGTTATTAGTGATGGTTATATAATTACATTTACGATTTTAGTCCTATATACATTCTTAAACAGCTGGACCGATTCCAACAAAATTTGGTACAGAATTTTATTAGGCATATGGGCAGAAGATATGGTAAGTTAGAAAGTGTTATGCCTAATTGAATTGAGTATTTAAATTGTCAACATGATATTGAAAAAACGAAGAAAATTACATAATGRTATACGGAATYGAATATCGTTGTAAGATTATAATATATTTTAACCACTATCTATCATTATGTATAAAAACATACTAATAGCATCATCACATGAAATGAATTTAACACACAATATGGACTATGGACCACAAAACAGATAGAATTCTTAACGGGCTACGAAGAGCATGGGTTCAGCTAGTATTATAATAATTATTTCTTGTATTTTTGTGCGAGCAACACGAAAGTATGTGAGATGTATGTTMAATTGCCTATCCACGACGCCGTGCGATCCAGAGCGTTGCTATGATATACTTATCGGTAATTATTATAGATGTAACACACATCATAACTCCTGCACTGAACTCGATACATTGCATGTTTGTTACGAATATGGTCATCGTGTTTGTAAAAAGTCGAATTTATCTCTATTGTATAAATTATTATAACTTTTGGGGGGAAAAAAAAAAAAATGTAACTCTTTGTAACTTAATTCGACAACGGATAAATTATTGTTGCGAAATAAAATTAACGTTGGTATGCATACATAAATAATTTTTATTTAAATTAACTCAAAAAAATGAGTGACTTATTCAAAAACAATATTGACATTGAAATAAAATATTATTTAGTATCAACATTTTCCTAGAAATCAAATTAATATTTTTACATTATCAAAAAAWAWAAWAWAAAWWAAAATAAAAATATTGTACTCTTAATATAGAACAAGTATTTTTATTTCAGGAAAATATCGATTTAAACAAAGTTATTTCATTMTTCAGCTCTTCCTGTCATACTTTGTATAATTTTATAATCCGAAATGCAACTTTGTCTAGCTGTTACTAATTTTACACTGTTAAGCCTCTGAACCAATTTTGATGACATTTAGTGTGGAAGATTGAGCTCTGAGAACGAACACTGACTTATTATTTTTCAGATTAACTTTTAAGGATAAGGGTGAAACTAAATTATCACTCTATTGTCATTGTCACATAGACATTAAAAATGTGTGGAGGGAATTGTTCAAAAAGAGCTTTTAGTGATGCGACCACATATTGTATTATTGTTTGAATGGTGAATAATATGTATTATCAAACTCAAATTAACTCGGWATTTTGTGTTATTGCACTTCAGCATTATTTATGAAATATGTATTTTGGCATTTTTCAAATTTTGTATCCTAAGGATGTGAAAGCAGGTGGCTTAGTCTTAGTTTTTAGTTATAAATTTGGCTACGCATATTTTGAGCTGTTTTTTTTTTTTACAAGTAAGCATTAGTAAGTTTAATAAACATAGTTATGTTTTAGCTTTATAAAAGTCTTGTTAATTTTAATAGTTCTTACTTTGTTTCTCTTATTCATCATACCAAAATTACTAATATTCCAGTAGGTAGTGGTAAATACCCAAATGTATTATATCAGATTGAATTGTAAATTGTAATAAAATGAATTATAAAATGTTTTACCAAAAACACAGTAAGGCGTGCACGTCTTGTTTTTGTTACAGTATGGACCACAATGAAATGCAAGATGAAGAAATCCTATATCAAATATGTATGCATTGATCGTTTTTCAAATTTTATTACGATCAACAATGTACACTAATAACACTTCATGAAAGATAATAATATGGTTCTCTGCTTTTATAAATCGGTTAAAGAGTTGATGTACATTTATCATGAAGGCAAAGTGCTACAAACATATTGAATGATTTGAATATTATACACCAAAAGAAACAACACAATGAAGTGCAAAGGGCCATCACCTTTAGTATCATTAGAGATTACACAGTAAAAATTTGTTTACAAGTATATTTTAAGAGACCGTGTAAGAAGGTAACACTRTTGCGATAACAGTAAAACTWATAAATAACAATGTTTGATATGGGCAGTGAATAGTGATTACTAATTAGGTTAAGATAATTTTTTTTATCTATTAGGTACACTGCAAATGCAAAAACTCACACTTTTATAAGAAATAAATTAAACTTACCTATTATTAATAATAAGAATAAGCCTTTCCGAGACTTTAGTGTTCAATGTTATTGTGCTATAAATACAATTGTAACTTTTTTTTTCACTTTACGTTAGAATTAAATGAAAACAATATTTGAATAATAATTACAACTTGATATAATGTCTTTGATATTATAATATCAGAAAATTGACAAAACACATCATTTGATTTCATTTGAAATGTTCTTATTGACATTTATTTATTTTTCATACAAAATATACTATAATATTAACACAAATAATAATCTTTTATTTTATATTTTTAAATTAATATACATTTTTTTAAACTATTTCAGCAATATTAAATKTAATTTTCAATTGAAACAACAATCATCTTTTTTACAACAATTATAATTTATAAATTATACAATTACAATTTTGCCTCCACATTTTTCAGTCGTTAGCGAGCACAATAATATAATATTTATATAATAATAATAGAGAAATACTTTGTTGAGAGATGGTATCTAGTTTGATGGTCAACATTAGTCACTAACCTACACTAATATCGACACTTTTCAAAGAATATCAGCTTTCAACTGTTATGTATTTTAAGTAATAATAATTATAAACAAAACAAAATACAAAATAATAGTAAAATATAATATAAATACAGGAACTTTTACAAATTCAATTATTTCTACAAAAACCATTTTGTTGATGTGTTTGAAATTTGCTATTGGCAAGAGTCATGAAGAGGCTTTAATATGTTTATCAAATTATTTTACATTTCTTAATAAACATATATTTAAGATTAAACTATCTTACAACGTTCTTACATTTTTAAATATTGTTTTGGAAAAATCAGACAAAAAGTTAAAAAAATTTTTACATACAAACTTTAACATTTTTAGACTTAAGAGTTGTAATTAACTAATGAATACATATCAAATATTATATATTAGATACATTAAGTTTAATATAACCAATATGTTTGTACAGTTAAAAAATAATGGTATTCAAAGCAAGTATAAAAAACAAATCTGTTAAAAAATACACACAAAAGAGTAAAATTGGACATAAAAGTGTTGAATTAAAATGCACATTATCACTATGTTTTGAAACAGAAATTGAAAAATATTCAATATAAATAATATGGTTTCAGAATAAACGAAAAATACATCAAAGGAGAGATTTAATTGTAAAATAAAACAGTTAAGAATCCATAGTGACAATCGAGATTTGTATTTTGGATGTGTTATTACTTATTAATATTTATTTTGTCTACAGATTAGAAAGGGGCCACAAAAATAACATCAACAAGGCAATATGTAATGATATACAGATAACAGGGGTTAATGGAAACAAACAGATATTATAATACATAATATACGTTCACTATATGTACCATACAACTAACTTTTTTTTTTTTTTAATTGATTGACAGCGACAAAACCAAAATTGATTCATAAAAACATAATAATATTATCAACATAAATACACAAATAATAATAATAATAAAATGAAAAAAAATATACAATATAATATAATCTACCATCTTAGTTACATAACACAACAAGTCCAATCCGAGCAGCCTTAACATTATTCAACACTGTGTGCACCACACACGGTCAAGAAGTAAGTACACGAGGATACTATTACAAGTGTTTTTCATTGATTTTTAATTCTTTGATTCACGAGGGGTTAACGATATCATATAATATGCGTTCTTCAATATAATTAKAATTTATAGTACAATCTATAAGAAAAAAAAATTTCGGGAGCATGWATTTTCTCTTAGACGTACCTACCCCGTTGTTGTTCTTTAAGCGGAACGAGAAACGTCATTRAGTACAATCGCACGACAACCGCCGCGATAAATGATCGAATGCTTGAATTTCTATTTCTTTTTGAATTATTTTCATGAAAGCGAGGATGAAAAAAATAAAAATAAAACTAAACCATTATAGCAGCTGTAAAACAAAAACAATATGCAACGCCTTACGACGAGAATGAACGAAAACGAGAGAGGGAGAAAAAATAAATATCATAAGAAGAACATAACATCATAAACACAATATTATCATCATGGAAGTACAGAGGATTCGTTCGAGTAGCATTCGGGGCAAGTGGACGGGACCTTATACTTCGGTGCCGTCTTCGCCTTCGTCCTCGAACAACGGGCCGCCCTTCATTTTGGGCTTCGGCGGCGGTTTGGGCGGCACCTTGCGYTTGACGCTCGTCTGGCTGGCCGGCTTGAGCACGCCCGTCTCTGGCGTGCCGACCCGGCTCGGCGCCCAGCTGCTCCGGTTCCTGGCGTCCATCTCCACCAGCGGCGAGTAGTTCGGCGGCAGCGCGTTGTGCTGCGGCAGGCCGGACACCTGCGACGGCGACGGCTTGTCCGGCGATCTGGGCGCCGGCGACGGTACTCTGCGGGCGTCCTGCGCGTCGTCGGCGGCGAATCTGGGACGGTGTCCRCTGCCTCCGCCGTGCAGCTTGGTTTTGTGCGGCAGGGTCTGGCTGTACTGCGGCTTGGGCCTGTGCACGGCCGCCGAGTCGGCCACCGCCTTGGTCAGCGACAGCACCGAACTGCCGTCGGCCGTGGTCCTCGGACCCAGRTTGTCGTACACGGGTTCGCACAGTCGGCCCAATCCAAGCGGGTCGTCCACGTGGCCAGCAGTCGGCGTGGACGCGGACGTCCCACCGACGCCGTTGCTGCTGGCCCAGCTGGGCACGCGCGGACGCCGCGGTATGGTCACGTAACCGGCAGGCGGCTGAGCGGGACGCGAGCTGAACGGCGACTGGGACCGGTTGTACGGTAGCGTTCCTGAGTAGATGGGACTGTGCAATGGCGACTGGAACGACGGGACCGTGGACACTATGCTGCCGGCTGGCGAACTGTGGCCCCCGCCGCCGCCGCTTCCCCGCGGAAACGCCAACAGGTCCGGTGGGTGCGTGCCCTTCCGGTAAGAACGGCCGTTGCCTACGCCGTTGCTTATGCCGCTGCTGTCGATGATGTTGGTCAGCTCGTCACCCGACTCGCCGTAAAACTGTTCGTCAGCATCTCCTATATACAGAAACAAAACGGCATACATTATAGTGTGTCGATACAATATGATCGGTAACTACATTGAAATTGGATATAATTTTCTATTTTGTCGATTCGGAAATAAGAATGCCAAAACATATTATAATATATAACGAAAAATAATATTTTAATATTTATATCTTATATACTTATAATATTATATTACATTATGTACTCCATATCAATTACGTGTGATCTAAATCGGTGGCGTTAATGCCCAAACAATAATAATATTACAAATTACAATATTATATTATACAGTAAAAGAAATCAGCCCGCGATTTACCATTCCGTCGGAAATTTAAAACAGCCAAGCGAAACCAACTGGTGTGTACGCAGGTACGGAAACCAGGCAGACAAAATAAAAAAAAATATCTAAGACTAAAATTGCGCACACAATAAATAAATAATTACGTTCGGTGGCCGTCTCGGGTTCATGCAGTCGGAGACGACGTTCCCGAGTTGCTAGTTTAATTTTATGCGCATACAAATCCTTAAATATTATATAATATATAATAACGTTCTACACTGTCTACTATTTACTAAAAACGAACTTTCCAACATTATAAATTGTCGTAAAGGACTTGAATAACTCATGATCTTAAATAGTTGCGAGTGTTTAGATTTTCAGTCGAAGGAATTAAATTATATAGCTGTAAGTTATTTAAAATGGGTGTTGTGATTTAAATTTTAGTTTCTTAGTATATTCTAGACGTTTTTCGATTTCGTCAGGCTGTATGTATTATACGTGTGATTTATATTCCCTCGAATCCCGAAAATTCTCGTCAAAATACGATTAGCTCATCTTCAATGAGCTTCAAGTGTATATATAGCACGTTATCAACAGTATTTTATTTAAATATCGTTTGCAATCTGTTTAAATGCAATCACAGACTTGACCTATTTTAACTGCAGTGTGCAAAAATATGATGAGCTATCCTCGGACGCCCTTCCCATGAAAATAATTATTGAGCATTAAACATTAAATATAAAACAGTACCTATATCAAATATCTCGAGAAGTTGGAATGTAGAATGAAAATCATCTACCTACATAGACTATTACAGGTAATCGGATTGAAATAAATCATAATTGGCCATTAGAACAAAGTTTTCCTAATTCATTTTTTTGTATAATTTAACAATCATTTGAAATATTTTATATAATATGTGTTTTTTCCAAGATTGACCAACTATTATTAAAGTAGGAAATAAATTATTGTACTTTAATTTTTCATTATTTATATATTTAATACCCGTACATAAACCTGATTAACCAAAACACTAATAATGTTGTTAACATTTTAAAAACATTTATTCAATAATACTTTTATTGGAAAATGCTTGTGTAGATAATATCATACAGTAGCATTAGGGGGATTTTATTCACGGGGAATCATCACGTCGATATAGTTTTAGTCGACGATTATGATATTATAGAATTTTGGAGAAAAAACACAATCAATCGTTTATTTGATTATGGTAAGCATATTATTATACTCTGCACCGCCAATGACAAATAAAAATAATAATAATAATATTAATAATTACAACGAAGGCTCATTTGAATGTTGAATGTTGTATGGTTGTTGAATGTGTACAATATTATCTCGATTCAATTATAATTTACGTAAGAATGTAGATATATTTAAAATGTCGATTTTTTWKGTCGTCGCATGAGAGTGAAATCATTCATTTCATATCTTGTGTGAAGTCGTACAAAGATAATTTCCATTCAAAATCATTCCTACGAAGTCTATTATATTATTATATTATATGCACTAGAAAAAAAAACGGAAGAAACGGTGTGGTGAGAGGATGTAGAGGGTAACAATAAATAATACAATAAATCTATACACTCACACGACACGACACGATAGAAGCGCGTACCACGTAAACAACTATCTATAGCGGTGAGGGCGGGTGGTCCCCGGTGACATTTTCGATAAGAAAGAGACGCGTTCGTTAGAAAACTACGAAATATGAATTCGTGCGTTTTTGAATAATAACATCGGAGTTGGTATATAATAGTAATAATAATAATAATAATAATGTGAACCACCTATCGACCGAATGCAGTTGAAAAAAATGAAAAATAAAAAATACCCGAGACCGGGTTCGTGTGGAATAAACCCCGTAGAGAAACTACCCCATATGTGCGGTGTAAAACACAAAGCGACACGCCACTGCTGCTCGTTCGTATAATAATATAAGCTTTTCTACGAATCGGTGGGCACGTCTGTTGCAGGGGATGGTTAGGAATTCGAAATCGATCTCGGAAGGAGCGGCGGCGGCATGAAGACGATAATTATTGTATCGTATATAATACAGGTAATATCATTATTATTGCTATTGTTGTGATCTACGGACTACGAAAACGGTTATTATATTGTAGTATTTTTGTAACAAACCACCTACCTACCATTATCGTGTCACGGTTTACTGCAGGACAACGCTGCAGAGATCTATATATTTTAATGGTTTTTTTTCGCACAATAATTTAGCCGAACCTGGCCGAAAGCGCACGTTTACCTTACTACTGTCTCCGTCCCTCGTCCAACGGAGATCAGCAGGCGGTGAATATGGTACTGAATAAATGAATACTGATACTCCGGAGCCACGATGTTATTAAGAGAGTCTGTTTAGAATTATATTTATAATATAAAAATAGATATATTTCTATAGTTGTGTAGCCCCATAATTTCGAGAAAATTTTAAATTGCTTTCAGTGTTTTGTGGACGCGTATTACAAAGGTAAGATGTATAATCGCATATTAAAATAAGGGTTGCTGCTTAAGTTACAAAGTTGTATTGCCACGACATCAGTATACCAAAACTATGAGGTATCTTAGAGCCCTAGTTTAACAACTTCCCCTATACACAAAAATTATGTCCCCCCCTCCGAAATAAAATTATGTCTACGCCACCGGTACATCGTGAAGTGTATGACTTTTTTTGTTACAGTTTTACAAAAATGYGTACTCCACCCGTATTTATTTGAAACCCATGCTATATACGTCGATGACAGTGGTGATGAACACGTGCGTCATCGAAACGTGAACAATAAATAAGCCTATCGGAAATATTATCGCTCAATTATAATTATATTTTTATCGGCAATAATACGGTCGTAATAACCGTCGTCGTTATAATTATAAATTAATAATAGTAATAACACAAATTATTGCTAAAATAGTTGTTGTACAGCAGTAGTACAATGGTTTTATAAACGCATAATGCCTCCACCTCCGCCTACTCGTCAATATATCGTTAATAAAGCATCGCCGTCGTTGTGGACTGTGGAGATTGGATCTATAAAAACTTATCGAACAAAATACTAATCTAGTTGAGATAATAATACCAACTTGGCAACGTCTATAATACAGTTTAGTTTTGAATAAATTTGACTTATGTGTTTTTTGAGTTAAATAACACTTCGGTGGGAGGGGGGCAAGAAGCAACATCCGAGTTATTGCCACTCGACTATAATTKATTAAAATGTTTAAAGATGCATAATATTATATATATATATATATGAATGTAATACGAGTGCGCGTAAAGCATTTGAAAACCGGTAAAACTATAATATATACATCGCTTTGTAGTTCTCTGAACAATATCACCATCTGGCTCGTACTATATTATAACAATAGAATATATAACTAGAAAAATGATTAAAAAACGGTCATTGAACACTTATGGATAGGTTAAAGTGAGTTCAATGCAATAATTTTCKTTAAAATTTGGTACAAAATTATAACGTATAAAAATAATAAACAAGTCGTATACATCGAACGCGCGTTGGTCTCGTTTCAAAGACACTCATCATTTGCGCTTGTCTATAGGTACTGTAAAAGCTGTAACGTTTGAGACGACTTCGGTTTTTAATCGTCTTTTTTGATTTGTGCAACTCACTTCTATGTTCTGTGACAACACACTAAGTCTGTAGTGCATTTTAATATCAATCATAAAAATGTAATATATTGTCTATATATCTATAAGACGATGATATGGAATTTTATAATAATGTTTGCGTCTGACCTCGTTCGCCACGTGCATCAGTAATCGGGCCGATTGATACACCGCAGAGGTGATGAAATAATAATATTATTATTGTTATTATTATTAAGATAGACCTAGATCTCGATCTCTCGGATCCGGGTCTGTGTTTCTGGACAATACGGACGGCGCGTTATCGGCGTTTGTATAATATTGCACTTTAAACGGAAACGGTAAAACAGAAGTGACTGCGGCGAACGCCGAACAGACAATAGAGAAAACGGAACGGAAAACAATAATATCTCGGGACACGCAGCCGTTAATATAATTTACAATATTATAATATTAAATACGACGGTACCTAACAATAACAATGATATAGCGCATTTGTTTTGGTCTGGTCGAGTGGTAATAGTGCAGTGAACGGAAAATGTCCAACTCGAAACAAATATCCAAACGCGTACCTATGCGTGGAACGGTAGGAATTAATTAAAAAAATAATTACGATAGGGACAATTATTATAATCAGTCACGACCGTCGTCGACCCTTACTACACTCCCCAAATGCCACCTTGAACGGATATAACAACAGTGAGATGTTGATGATTCATATCAGACTGCAGCTTTTTGTTTATATGTTATATGTACGTATTATACCTACAGTCTATAGGAGTAATGAGATCACTATAAAAACTAACGCATGCCTAGTAATTGAAAAAACTGCAAATCTCCAAAACTAAGTCCCGACAACAGCACTCTAAGCTCCTTGCGAAATAATGTCTGGGCATAATATAATATGATAATTAATTAATACAAAAACTTCTACAATTAGATACCTAAATACGACGCTATGAACTTTCCATAATAAAAATAATAGGCGATAAAATGGCGTCTAAACATATATATGCTTAAACCACGTCTATACCACCACCCCAATCCCAGAGAATTATCAAGAAAAAAAATATTTCTTTATGTTTAAAC